TCGCCCCATTTATTAACAGAAGCAAAAGTAAAAAAAAAAAAAAAAAGGCAAATCCTACTACCCACCTTTGACTGATCATTCAGACTCAGAGCTCTCTTACCTAGCGTTATACAGTAGGCCGAGGCTCATATTATCAAGAGTATGTTCCTGATGGAGATATGTTAATTGTATTGGTAGCTTCCTGTAATCTTTTTCTGGAAACCTCAAACCACAGGTGCTGAAGTTTAAATATTTCAACATTTCAACTAAAACAAACAAAAAAAATTCCTCGGATCGTGTATGCACAAGATACTTTCCTGTTTTCAAAAGCATTATTGCAACTGTTTGCTTCTGTAATTAATATATCAGGTAGGTAATTATTCATACACCAGGGAAATGGTGGGTTTTTTGAAAAAGATGAAGTCAGAATTTTGGTAAGTTTTAGCTTGGCGAGAAAAGGCTATCAGAGTAATATCTTGTATGTTACCAGTAATTCTCTCTCTCATACGCTGTATCTGGGGCTGTCAGGCTGTTATAATGGAAAAGGCAATTTCACATTCAGCAGATCGGTTTTGCTATGAAAATTGGAAATTTGAAGTGAAGGACCACATTGGAATGTTTTCTTCATTTATTTTACGCTTTCAAGTGGATCTTACACAGTTTGGCACATACGGTGCTTCACGGGTATTTATTTCGTAACAAGTTCTTTGCTGTTGTACTTCTGGAGACAACTTACACTTCTCTGGCTGTTGGATTAGTAGGCAAACTTGAGTTTTCCCACCTGCTTTATAGTTAAAATACACTCAACTTTAAACTACAAACTGGCAAGTATTGTTTCTACCCTCATTCTTCCAGCTAAAATTCCATACCGAGATGATCTGTGTTCCACTCACTTTTAAATTTTTTTTAACATAGTAGGAAAAAGTTATTTATTAAGAGCTGTATCTATAGTAGCAAACTCTAAGTTCTTTCCAGGTAAGTTATTAGTATCCCTTTTCTTCCTAAAATAATTTTCTTCCATATGGAATAAAGGGTGGGATGGGCAGTTCAAGCTTCTAGATGATTGCCTAGTGGTAAAGAAGAGGCTGAAAAAAGAAAAACCACATCCGCTCCTTGTGTGCTGTTTAACTGTGATCTATAGCAGGGACGTACTCTGCAAACGGATATGCAAGTACCTGCTATTATTACCCCCATGTTGGATACCGCGGGCCTTTCCGTACTGGTTTTGTGTTTTTCCAGCCGAAGGAAAAAAATCTTATAAAGTTATTACATACTTTCTGAACTGCTTCATTTTGACTCAGACCGTATGAAGCACTTGTATAAAAGAAGTCTACAGGGAGATAACTACACTTGTTTTCAGTGACGAGGTTTACCTGTATTTTAACAGTTAAACCCACTATGTTAATAAAACAAAACTGCTGAACAATAATCCTGCTCAGTTTCAGTATTTTCCCCATTCCTCATATTTTAGAAGAACGTAAGTAGATAAGAATTGTAAAGTACAGCTCCATCTTTAATAAAGTAGAAATCTAAATGCCAGCTTATAAATGCATCTGGCAGTTTTCTACACGCTAGCTGCATTACAAGAATAAGACTGGTTAGAAGTAGCTACTGCAGTTGTTTCTCCCCAAGTTTTCATTCATTTCCGGAAAAAAGTTAACTTCTCATGCCTGAAAATGTCTAAAGTTTACTTGCAATTTTAAAAATCTACCCAGCTTTATGGTTGGGAGAGCAGGAAGGGCATCAGTGTGATGTACGCTCAGATACAGCGCGTGCATACTCGGGCGAGTCCCACGTTCCCAGGCTAGCGGCCTCCGTTCCGCTCTGCCCGCCTGATGCCCGGCTGCAAGGTTCAGCAAAAGCCTCACTGTGACTATTGCCACGCAGGGTAAAGGGAAAGATGGGGCGGATACTGCTGTCATTCTGGGGCTTGACATGGCGCAACATCTCTTGGGGGTTTTTTTGATCTTTGCAAGAACTATTGAAAACAATTTGAGTGTTCTGTTGCTGACCGATTAAAAATAACGTGCGTTCAGACAAGCAGCATTAAACCATACAAATACACGGATGCGTCTATCTCCCTAACACTTGCCAGTTTAAGAGCGCTGAATTATAAATGAGGTGCCTGATTTAAGACAAACAAGTTGTCTCAGAAACGCATCTACTCCAATACGTTGACCTAATTTTAAATTGCCAAGTCAGAACGTGTACATCCACTGCCGCTGGATCTTTCACTTCACAACTCCCAAGACGGACGTACGGGACTCTCTGATTACA